TTTTAAAAAGCTGGAAACCCTGAATACATATCATCGCCTTAGAGTTGAAACCTGCTAAATACCTCCAAATAAATTTTACAACGCAGGCAAAAAACGACAAGGGTACGTTCACATAGGAAGCGGAGCCGAGCCGAGCGAAGCAATTCCGAGCTGAGTGAAACTTTCAAATTGCTGTAGCTATATGAAAGTGTTCATACAGCGAGCTTTTTCATAAGCGTTTTGGAGCTGAAAGCAAAGCAGTTTTTGATTTTGAATTTTCTATTTAATTTTTATGTTTCATGACGCTGCTGCAAACAGAGTATCTAAATATTCAAATAAAAACGAATTTTACAACGAATCTTTTGAATAAAATGGAGCAAATATTTTTGCCGCTTTTCATTGTCGGTAAGTTTTGTGGTATTTTTGCAGCAGAGTCCGTAAAAAAAGCTCCGCTTCGCTTCGTTCAGTGTGAATACCAGCAGCTTCGCTTTGTTCCGCCTTGCTTCGCTCGGAGCCACTCGGCTTTGCGTGTGAACGTACCCTAATATTTTTTATCTGTTGCTGAGAAAGTAACCTTTTTGTTATTCTGCTAGAAATTATAAGTTAGTGTATTTAATTACCACGTTTATTTCAACTCGCTTTGTTTACTATAATAAAAATTTGCTATTAAAAGTTTCAAATAAAACACACTGCGTGAGCTTTGCCATTGCTGTGGGAATTGGGTGCATTGTGTGCAATTTCTTTACTAATGATTTTGACGTTGGCAAATACATACAAGCTGTGGTGTGGCGATTAGCAGTGCGCCCTACCATTGCCAGGGCATGGGTTAATGCCCAGTTTCCGACAAACATCAAAAAATAAAACACAAAAAAGTTGTTTCTAATAGCGGCCCCACTTGGCAGGCAATGACAAACCTCCTAGTGTATTCTGCCATGAAAAACAGCCTCTCATAAAAACACAATCGCCGTTCGGAGTCGGCGTAAAACTGTAGGTCCCTCCCCTTTGGGTGATAACATCAAGGCGTACGCCACAAACCGGAGGAAAAGCTCGGCCAAACACTAATACATTGTGTAAACGCCAATCTATAACATTATTATTGTTATTATAAAAAATAGTTAATATTAAAAAATGGTTAAATAAACAATTGGATATTATTACTAAAAGTTCCCTAAAGAGAGACAGTTTTCCGATCGAAACATTTTTTGTCGCATATAAAATATGTATATGGAAAACTTTGAACGCTTTGAGTGAGCTCTAAATATGGTTTTTGATTTCAAAATAAACAAGCAGAGGAATATTTTTTCGGTATAGAATCTGAAATCCCAATGGGTGAGAGCATTAAAATTCCGACTTTACTTGTTTTGATCTCCCTAATGTATATACACATTCATATGTATGTTTGTATATTAAATTTGGCCAGATGGTGTATGAGTTTACATACGTATTTTAAAAATGAACCCTACAAAAATCGCGACTACTCTCTGCACGCATGTAAATAATACTCCCTAAGGGCCAAGGAGTACTCCAAAATTAACCGCAATGCATATAAAAATATGGTCCATTTAACACTGCGATGTCTTAGAGCAGGACCATATACACCAGCTCTGCATTACATCAGAGTAGCACAAAACCGCTCCAAAGGATTACTCCATGGAATACCTGCCTCTTGGCAACACATACAGAGGAGCACTTTGTAAGTACTCCAACATGCCACGAATAAACCACATAGTCCAACGATTTTTGCAGGGTATTCATACCTACATACATATGTACGTAAATGTAGTATTTATAAACGTAAATGGGTACGTATAATAGTTGCGGGCAGAATAATAGATCTCTCAAGCTTACAATAGCCGCCTTCGTTTCGCCAACACTTAGCGAGTGGCCAAACAAACGAAATTAATGAGGTACAACCAACCTCGCCAACGGCCATCGCTGCTAGCTAACTTTATTGTTGTATCACATAAAAATTTTTCGTTAAGCTAGCAGGGCGGCCAGTTTGGTGTAGTGTTTAGAAGTGCACACACTACTATTCCGCAGGGCCAGGGTTCGAGCTTTCCGACTATCAGCAAAAACAAATTTCTTTTTAAATGCGGTCGCCCCTCGGCAGGCAATGGCAAACCTCCAAGTGTATTCAGCCATGAAAAACAGCTTCTCATAAAAATACAACTGCCGTTTGGAGTCGGCGTCAAACTGTAGGTCGCTCCACTTTGTGTGACAACATCAAGGCTCTTGACCAGTGATGTGCGGTGTAGGCTACATGGTGTCGACTACACGACTGTCTGTCTACGCGTCGTCAATGTAGTGTCGGCAATTCAAAATTGTCGACGCTTTAATGACGACGCGTAGACAATTTAAGACCTATCAAATACTTATACTTATATACTTATGTAAAGTATGTATGTAACTAGCATACTTATATATATATGTATATCAAAATCTTCGTCTTCTATTGGTAAATCTTTAATTCTTAAAGTATAATAGATATGAAAAAGTTTTTTTGACCTTTCAAACGTCAACCGATTTGCCGAAAGAGTATGAACATGAGCCCTGCTGGAAAAAAGTCGCTCAATCTGCGCGGAGGAAGCAGGTATTTTCAACAATTTTTGTGCTAGTTTTCCTAATGTTGGATATTTCATTTCTGCCATATTCCAAAAAACGATAGGTTTTTTAATATTTATTTCGTACAGCATTTTAAAGAATCCGATTTTTTGTCGAAAGTGATCAGACTCTTCAATGCCAGCTCCATCTAGGCTTTTAAATAAAAAGTTTGAAACTATATTGTGATGATTATTGCTTAACTTTGAGTTATCTAAGTATGGTAGCAAATAAAATCATGTCAAGGCGTATTTGTTCAAAGCCAGCTCCTTCCTGGATTTAAGCTTTGCCAAAAATTCATCAGGTACCTGCAGATCAAGCCACATATCTACTGCTTCAACTACCGAACAATTTGATGACTGACATCTATTTATTAAGGAACAAATGGATCTAATAGGTGTATACTGGTTTTGATCTCATCTAAAAATTTTGTATCGTACAGAAATCCAACAATATTTCCTTTTACGCTCGTATCAGCAGCAACGATTTTCATACATATAATGAACATTATTTAGCAAGCAGTTATACGCATTGCGATGTGAACACCACCGTGTTTCACAACGAAGTTTTATTTGGGTTCCACCTTTTTCAACGACTTTTTTTCTAAATCTGCATGCTTAAACTCCTTCAATATTGATGTGACTTTCTGATTCAGCCCCCGATTCAAAACATCTTTTGCAAGTAGGTTTCTGGTATGGCTGCTGCAATTACTTTTCCAAATAAAATGTTTGGTTATGTTTCCAATTTTTTTCATAGTACTATCATTATACGAGACAACTGCATACACATGTGTTGAATATAGTTTCTCTGCCATATCTACATATTTAGAAACTATTTCCGCAAGTTTCTCTGCTGTCTCACTTTCTCCAGTGAGATCAAATGCTTCTAAAAATGCCTGTTCTCCATTCGCGTTATGCAACATGGTAACGACTGTTTTGCTGTTACTGGATGAATTTTTCCATCCATCAATTAACAACACTGAGTCAGAGCTCATCGTGGCCTGGGCTGTGGACAAACACTTTTCATATGCATTGTCCCGCAGTCTGGTTGATAGAACTTTTCTTCCTAGAATTTTATCGGCATATGCTGGCCTCAATTTTTTTATGAAATTTTTAAAATGAATAGACTCTGAAATATGCAATGGAATATTGCAGCCAAAAAAGAATTGGGCCATAGATTCGTTAATTTCGTATTCATCTTTTTGTGACAATGTGTCAGCGAAATTAGACATTGATTTTCCAGTCGGTTTTGATAACATGCGTTTTCTGTTCTTACTTGAATTTGAAGAGGTAGGTACCAACGACGATGGTTGTTCACTGCTAGATTGACCTGAAGTCATTAGCGCACACAAGGGGTGGGTTTTGGGGTTCAAATCCCCCCTAAAGCTAATAACCTGAAATACAAACTGTATCCTAAAGCCAGCTCTCAAGAAAAATCACAAGAAATATTTTTTATTATAAAGCACTTTGCTTTTGCTGTAAATTTTCTTGAAGAAATAAATATACGAGCATTTTTTTCTTGAGAGATGCAAATTGATTTAAGAAATTTTGATAGAAGAAAATTCCTATTCCATTTCTTGTGCGCCATTTTATATGAATTTTTCGTTTTTTTTTTGAGAGCACTTAAAAGTTTAACTGCGAATGAAACCTAAAAATATGCAATGCATACTCACTTACTGAGCCTAAAAGAGTTTACAACTGATATGTCCTTAACAAGGATTCGAAGATTTAATTTGCCCACTTCGAATTCGTTCCACCAAAAATTGCAATACATAACAAAAATTCAAGTTCATTTAATTTTCTCGGTATTCGGAATATTAAAAAAATTAGGCAGTCGTAAAAAATCACAATCTCATTCGAAAACCAGAAACCAGATATCGAGGAAAATGAACATTAAAACTCTTTTTTTTAATTTTTTTATTACTTTTGCAAGTTGAGCGCATCTTGTGTTTATACAACTTTATATTAAATAAGTAATTTCAAATTACGGGAAGACCCTTGAGGTACCATCTTTCCGATAAAAAAAAGAATTATTGAAATCGGTTCACGTGGTCCAAAGTTATGCGTTAGCATACTATTCCGACGAATTTATAACCTACCCCTTTTTTGAAGTCGGTTACAAATGTTTGAGTTTTTTGCTAATTTTATGTAAATAAATGCAATTTATGAAACTTCAAAAAGTTTATTTATTTATTAAATACTGTACATAAAACTTGCATAAATGTACTTTAATGATCATTTTATCTAAAGCGAATTTTCAGAAGTATAAACCCCTCCCAAAATATATTCCTGGGTGCGCCCCTGCCTGAAGTTGACAATGATTGGTCAATGCTGGACTGGCCCGACGTTGTAGAACGTGATGTTTCTGGAGCCAAAAATACAAAGAAGTCGGGTTTGATAGTGATTGGCCACTTCTATAATTACCTGATATTGTTGAATTTGGTCTTGTAGAAGCCAAAGAATCTGAGCTGCACGTTTTAACGTTATTACATAGATATATGGCATCTTGTGCTTTATTCGTGGTTGCAATCGAATTACTTTCCACCTGAACATATTAGAAAATATTATGTTATATATTAGTATTTTGCGTTACCTCCGAAACTTACGCTGACATTCAATGCTTGTGTTTCTGTGTCCAAAGCATCATCTTCTAACAAAGAGACAATTGGCGTTGTATCTGCATCTCTTGTTTCGGGTTTCTTTACTTTGCAAACATTTCTATGAAAAGAAAATTTAATACCGAAACAACCCAAAAACATAACAGTTTCCACCTGTGAGCTCTGAGACGAACTTCTGCAGTGTTCAGTACATTTTTTTGCAAATAGTGCAAAATGCTGCAGTTTTATTATTAACTTTTACCAATTCAAAGTCCAACTCCTCATATGCTTTATTCTTTTGTAGTCCAGCCATTTTATTAACGATTTAAACTAAGAACGGTCTCTTCTACGCTTTTACTTTTTCTTTTAACAGCTCGAATAATCAATCAATCAGCAAGCAACAAACAGCTGATTATGGCATTATTGCTGATATTAACTTAGGGGTGGCAAACTATCGATAGTTTCCTGTTGGCTGAAGTCAAATTTTTACGACATTGGCGACACATACACGACATTGATGACATTGTCGACACAATTATCGACATTGACGACATTGTCGAATTGATTGTCGACTGCATTATGTCGATTATTAAAAACGACGAACAACACTGCTCTTGACACATATCGGAAGAGAATGCGCCTTGGAATTACATAATTCTATTTGAGCCGCACTGTATGCAAAGACAACGCATTGTACCTAAATGCTTTCAAAGCTGTTTTCATGATATTAATAAATCTCTTATTTATAATTATCACGATGCGCATTTCGCAACTGCTACTTTGATTTTGACAATTTTCAAGTAAAAGTAAACAACGCGTCACAAACTATAAATGCACGGAAATTCACTAATCCTTTCAATTATATAATTCTATTTGAGCCGCACTGTATGCAAAGACAACGCATTGTACCTAAATGTTTTCAAAGCTATTTTGATGATATTAATAAATCTCGTATTTATAATTATCACGATCACGACGACTTTAAGTAAAAGTAAACAACGCTTCACAAACTTTAAATGCACGGAAATTCACTAATCCTTTCACAAAAATCACCGATTTTGAATTTTTTTATTCTTTTTTATTACAAGTCATATATTTTTACAATTTAAGACAATTAAACCACGTTTCCTATCGAAAAATATGATATAATAATATTTGATTAATCTGACAGTTCCTTTTATCTTCTATTCGGCTTTGTTTACTTTTAGTTGGGAAATGTCATTCTTGCATAATTATGTATGCATGTATGTATGCATGTATGTAGGTTATTGCTGTTGTTGTAGCAGCATACAAGTTCCCCAAAGAGTTTTTTGGGAGTGTTGCTGGAGTGACAGTCCTTGGCCAAATATAAGTCTGGGTCGTTCCGGTTACGTAGACCCGACTGTCGTGGGAACGCATGTATGTAGGTGTGTATGGTTGGTGTATACATATGGATGTTTCCATGAAAATTTAAACCGAAAACGCAAATGAATGGGTTCAAACAACTTTATAACTTTAAATTTCGTAATCAGATGGCGAAAGAAGTTTAAGAAAACGCGAAACGGAGGAGAGAACTGAAAAAATTAAATAAAAAATTAAATTATATACATATGTAATAGTATGGGGAAAAATTCTGCCACGTCCGATATGTCACCTCCGTTATGACAATTTGATTCAAAATAAAACAACAACGAAATGCTTCTGATTAAATATGAATATATTGTAATGGTCTGTTATTTAACGTAAATTACAGGATGTTTTAGAAAGGAAAACCTCACAAGATTCTTAGAGGTTGGATTATTTTTCGTGTACTCTGAAACCACTTCAGTTTTTGTCACGTCCTTAATGACCTGCTCTTCATCGATTTTCCCGACACCAGTGTTCCAAGCGTACCTACCAAAGGACGGTATATAAGCTACACAACGGCAAATTATTTTTATACATAAGTGACTTACGTTTTTGTATGATTTACTTAACTCTAAAGTCGTACGATTATCATGTCCGACATCATGGAAACACTCGTATCGTCGTTTAAAGTACAAAACCGCGTATCGTCGTTCTGCAAAACCACGTAACTGACATTGGATTTGCTCACACAAGCTCACATACGCGGTTTTGCATTACCTTGATACGCGGTTTTGTACTTTAAACGACGATATGTATGTATGCCTTTAAATCAGTTTAGGTTAAATTAGCAATCAAGCCTGTCTACTTGGCTCAAACCATGCCATTTTTTGCTCTTTATATTTCAAATGGCACGCAACTTATCAATTTGGCACAAGGTGCCAAAATTGCAGTTTTGCAAAATAGTAATATTTCAACAAACTAAAATTTTCTGTTTTCTTAAGTTTTTACAACTAACGTATGACGCTTTTTAAATTACGAGATGAAAGCAAGTCACCGTATATTTAAATTTAGGAAATGTGTTTTAGACCGTGAATAAAAAATTAAAATTTACACAAGTTTATTATTTTTCATACGATTTGGACAATTGTGATATTTGTGCAAATGCGTCAAAACTAAGCAATTAAACTGAAAATCGTACATTAAGCCGTCCTTTTTTAGGCAAAACCGTATTGAGTCAATGATATTCTGTAATAAATGTCTTTGTTACTCTTAATTTGACCGCAACTGTATGTACTTGTACTTGTGGGGCAGTTACTAGTTGTTGATATTTGTTATTGGTTAAGAAGGTGGCGAAGATTGTGCATGCAGGTACACAACAGGCCAAGGTAACTGCAAGTAAAAGGTGGCCCCAACGAGAAGTGCAGGATTAATGCCAGTCACTGCTACATTTGGGCAAATCCACTCTCTTTCATGACGTCGAGATGTTTTTGTGCGATGTCAAAGTGGAGAATTGAAACAAAAAAATTATTTTCGTACCAGCATCATCTTCCGAGTGGTAGTCTCTAAGTGAGCATTTGCAAGTATAAGTACATATACGTATGTATGTATGTATATGTGCATTCAGAAAAATAATACAAAATATTGCTAAAAAAAAGACAGTTTCACAATTATTGCCGCTAATGTTAATGTTAATAGTGGTGCCACTGTTGTTGCTGCCACCGCAAATTTGTTTGTATGTACGCTCGGTATGCACGTAAGTACCCAGCAGAAATCGGTTGTATGCATTCATGAAGTATGCATGCTGTATGAGTGAAAAAGTGTGAACAATTCATGAGCGGCTATGAATTTCCAGAAATAAAGTCAAATTCTGTAAGTGAAACTAACTTTGTTGTTTTTTTAAGTACATTTCCCTATAAATTTTACTACTATACAGCATCACAAAATGTTTTTAATATTTTCAGTCTTGTGCAAAAATTTTAGCGAACGGACGTGTTGTGCGATAATATTTTCGAAACTAAGGGCCGTTTTCTAATGTAAGCAGTAAAGTTGCCTTTACTAACAGGGCAGATAAATTGTCCCTCACTTTAAAGTGTTTTCGTTTTCTTATCTTACCGGTAAAAATAAATTTGTTATTCCGTAGAGTGAAACTTCACTACACTTCCGAGAGTGAAACTTCACTACATTCGTCATAAAATTTCAAAGGTTGGCAATGCTACATAAGCAAATATAGAGCAAGAGCAACTGTTTGCAAAAACCAAATCCTTGGTTGAAATATCTAATATATCTGACTCACGCAAGGCCGTATTTAGAGGGGGGTTGTAGGTGTTCCGACCCCCCGCCCCCCCCGAAATGTAGAAATGTAGGATTTTAAGGCACTAAAAGCTTGAAAAAAGGCAAAATGAGCTTTAAAAAAAAGCAAAAATGGCATATATTTTTTAATTTTGTTATGTACTTCCTTTATGTACAGTGTGCATGGCCAATTAAAAATATAAAAAATATATTCAGTGCGAAAGTTCATGAAACAAGAAAAAGCGCTTCTTTTTTGCAATTATTTATCAAAGAAAGACGAAAATTGTGGAAAACAATTTGGAAAGGATGCTGAAATATTTAGATCTGAAAACATTGCGTTTCTTGCTGATGAAGTGCTTTTCGAAATCAAAAAGCCAACTGTGTCGACCAGCAGTCGGATTCTAACTTTCGTTATAGCTAAAATAACTAAAATGCGAAAGCTTACATTTTATCCGCTTTTCGCTATAAAATAGATTAGACTAAATTTTAGTATCCGCAAGTGGCACTATTCAACAAAAGCAGCTAAATTGTCCATTTTAATGGTGATAAATAGTGAAAATGGAGCAAAAAAATAGCAGCCCCAATTTGGATTATATTTCATCTCCTGTAGCGTAACCATGGCTAAGTTACAAAGACACTCGCACCGATTCGCAAAGACTATTGATGAAAAGCTTTCACAAAAAGGCATATCTTTGAGAGAATGTACGCATTGCTGTTTCGAATTTTTTGCCGAACCACTTTTTTCCAAGTTTTAACGTATTATTTTTGTTGTCAGTGAACTTTTGTTATTTTTTTTTTACAAAAAATATAGTTCATTCTTTAACAAAACCCGTGTAAATCCAAGTTTAATAATTTGTGCAATATTAAAAAAAATTCAACAATTTTTCGAGTAAATTTCCAACTTTTTAAAAACTCTAAAAAATCAATCGAAATTTTTAGCCATTTTAAACTCATACTTTATTCTACTAGAATTCAAAACTGCATACTCAGAATTTAATTTAAAAAATCGAAATTTTAACGAAAATTTGTTGAATTATTTTTTTAAATTGCGTAAATTTTTAAGGCAGTGTCACTCGATTGGCACATTTGTACAGATTTGTACATTTTTATATTGGGCTATTGGTAAAAAAATGGGGAAATTTTGATTTTTGTAGTCAAAAGATTGGTACAGCGATGTTCTATTGAAAAATTTCAACAAATTAATTTTCGTTATTGGGATAAAGAAAAATATTTTGGGTGTTCACACAATTGGGATACGATTTGCACCAATCGTGTGACGCTGCCTTTAAACTTGTATTTATACGGATGTTTTAAAGAATGAACTATAAAAAACTAACCAAAATTAAATAACAGCAAAAATAATATTTTAAAACTACCGAAAATTTGCTGCGGCTATAATTTGTTCGACTACCGTACATAAGTTGACTATGATTACCCNTGAAAATTTGCTGCGGCTATAATTTGTTCGACTACCGTACATAAGCTGACTATGATTACCCGGCCGTGCTATCATAGTAGCACAATGCCACTAAGCGCATTTTAAAATTTTCAGGCAATAGCCAGATCATCGATTATATTTTTTGTTGTTTGTGTGAGCTGTGTGAGTTTTAAATGACATAGGGCAGCGAATCACAATGCAATAGCTACGCTGGCTTGGTCATGGCGTACGAAGGGACAGAAATTCTCCAGCTCTAAAAG